TTCCTGGCTTCGGATTGGCTCAGCTCCAGGTTGTTGTGGCTGCTTGAGGAATGAATGAACGGACAGATATTCCTGTCTGTCTCTCCTCCTCTCTATATATCTAACTTTGCAATAAAAATAAATAATTTTTTTCAAAAAAAAAGATTAATCTATTTGCTACAGCAGCAAAACCAGCTTGATGCAAACTTTATTTTATTTGATTTGAACTTTTGACCTCAATAGCATTATATCATAAATTGTGTGGTTTCTAAACACCGGAAATCATTTCCCACAATCTCGGGGCCTGGGGCTTCGATGGAGAGGAGTCAGCAGATTTAGCATTGGCTAAGGGTTTCTTTCCAGTTTATAGGGAGTCATCTTCCTTTTGTATCCTTAGAAGAAAGAAAGGACAAATTAACTCTTTGGAGCTTCTTAACTGGAAGCAATGATGTAACCGTTGAGAACTTTGACCTCTTGTTCATATGCTAAACTTATACCACTTATTCTTTCGTTCAGGGCTTTGCAGTGAAATGCACCATTGACTTTTCAGGGAGTCTGGCTATCAATGGTAAACTTTCTGTTCTCTACAATCCTGTGAATCAGTTGTTTATTATAGATTTATAAAAAAATATAGCTATACACACTGAAGAACATTATATGTATTACACTAATGTATAATATGCATGTAAATTTCAATATGTGTAATAATTTTAGCATATTTGAGGTACACAGATGTTCTAGACTGACAAAGGGATGCAAACACACTGTAAAGTAAAAATTCTATAAGCCAAAATGAGTTTAATATAATTAACATATGGATCATGGCTTAGCAACACAGTATGCTGTAGAGTATTGGTCATTTACCCATGACTGCATGACTGGGAGCTGCAGCTCACTGCTACTGCATGGCATCCTAAGACCATAAAGATCCACATAGTTATAGCCAGGGAGCACATGACGTTTCAAAACTAGAAATGATTGCTACTGAATTTCTCTTACTTTCACACTACTTAGGAGTCAGTCCTCATCAACTGAGGCTCATTTGTATATTTATGTAAAACTTGTTATTAAATATATAATTATGTACATGTTACATAACAATCATAGTTTTATGTATATAAACACATGCAAACATACAAATACACATGCATAGCCTATTGATTTTGTTGCACTGAAAACCACAAATGCGTTGGAATCAAAGAGCTTCAAAAAGAATAGAACACTGGCAATGAACTTTGTTGATTCTGTACAGGTTTCCTGGCATTGACCCTGTCATCTGATAAACTTTAAGAATAATAATGATATCAGTGCCAGTATTAAATAGTATAGTGACAGCCTGTGACATGATCTGTCAAGAGAGTGTATGAAACATGTGCATACTGTTCTTAATAGATCATTTCTAAGAAGTGAGGGACTGGATGACTACATTTATGATGATTTTGAATATTTAAGAAAAAAACGATCCATATAATGAGTTAGCTGGCTGAACTCTGCGTAGCTGGGCAATGTAATGAAATACTTGCTGTTCAGGAATTCTAACTCCTGTATTATGAGTTCCATGATGAAACTAAAAACTTATACTGGTATATATGTGTGCCCTAAAGGATAATTTATCTCATGTAGAATTGAGACTGCTAAAAATCAAAGCTAATATTCAATCCTCTGAGTAGATACTTCATAAAATGGATTGTATTCCCAGTCTCACAAGTTCCTTAATCATTAATTAATCTATCACAAAGGAATGTGATGGAATGAATTTTAATGGATGTATTTGGAGTTAAATTGATTTATTTAGGACACTGGGATCCCCTAAATTCTGGTAAATGTTCTTGTCCAGTAAAGTGTGCTCTTCAACAGAATTGTTCTGGTCCTTAAATTGCAGTGATGGCGTTGCCGCACTCATAGTGGCTACTGTTGCCTCAAAGAATCAAGCCTTCACTACTTGAAAAACGTATAGCACTTCTGGAGCCAGCGCTATGGGATAGAACCCCTATCCTAAATAGGATGCACCAGCATCCTATTTGAGTGCCAGTGACAGTCCTAGTTGCTTGAATCTTGCTCCTTACCATTGTCTTGGGAAGCAGCTAAAGATGCTCATTTGTCAGACTCCTGCCTCCTCTTTGGGAAACTTGGAACAGGTTACTGGCACCTGCGTTTAGCCTGGCCCAACCCCAGGTGTTGCAACCGTTTGGAGAATGAACAAGTGTATATACAATGTGCATGATATCTCTCTGCGTACCTGTGCTTGTCACAATAAATAGATGAATAAATAAATATACAAGTAAAAATAGACTGCTCTAAAAAGTATTCTAACAGATTTTCCCTGCAACATAGGTTGTTTAGCATTGATTTTCCTCAGAGTACTCCCCCAATCCTCTATTTTGGCTTCTAGAGCGATAATTAGGCTTAAGTCCCAGAAAACCTCTAAGTCTGAGGCAGAACATGTATCCATGAAGAGATATACTATGTCTTAAGAAACTACTGCATTTTCAAGTATTTTAGGAGGAGGAATCTGTTATCAACATTTAAGTCTGATTACTAAATGTATGCAATAGTGGAGGGGCATAAATCTGAATTAGGTTGAATTCATTGATATAGGCTCACTTACAAGAGAGGGTAATTTTTTAAAAACATTCATTTATTCACAAAGAGGAGAGAGAGAGAAAAAAAAATATTTCCTGTGTTGGTTCACTCCTCGGATGGCCACAGCAGCCTGAGCTGAGCCTATCTAAAACCAGAAGCCATGATCTTCTTTCAGATCTCCCATATGGTGCAGTCTCAAAATCCTGCAGCATCTATTTTCGCTTTCCAGGGCCACAGACAAGGAGCTTGATGAGTTGTGGAGCAGCTAGGACATGAACGGGTGACCCTATAGGATCCTGTCATATGCAAGGCGAGCATTTAGCCACTGGGGCCATGGTGCAGGGCTCAAAGAAAAGTGTACATTTAATGTTGCAGCTCAGCTGATAAGAATAGGGTTTCACAGTTCAATCATTTGATCATCTGAAACAGTCCAAAAGTGATTCATCAGCAAATAGATTAGAAGAGCTGTTCTTCAATTGGTTTAAAGTGGTAAAAGGGACTCAAAAGTTTATGGTGGTTAAAATATGAAAATAAATTTGTAATTCTATTTTCTTGTATTTGTGTGGCCCAAAAGACTTACCTGTCAGCAATACTACAAGTGATACATTTGTGAAGAAAGTCTTAGCATCTTGAAAAGCTTTGTGATTTTTCTTCTTTGTAAGGCAGATATTGCAATAGAAATCACAGCCACTCAACTGGAAAACCTAAATGAAACTGGAGTAATAGGATCTCAAGCCTGCAAGGGCAAAGTGATGGCACTCAACTGCCAAAGGCAAGATGAATGAGGGTTACTGGAATGGGCAGTAGAGTCAAAGCTGCAAACAAAATAGCTTGACTCCTGTAGACCTATAGCAGTTATTAATTAATCATTGTGTTCAATGATACAGTTAGAAAAACCTAAAGAATTCTCACTGGATCTGTATGAAGGAAAAATTACAGATCAAGTGAACAGAAACCTAATGTGAACCATAAAAGAAGAAAGTCATGATCCCTCAATTAATTCCAAGACTTGAGCCAGTTACAGACTCAGAAGCCTCGAATGAGAAGAATTCAGCTCCCCCTGAGGGAAAATACAAATATACTACTGAACAACCATAATGTTAATCTTTGCAACAGTCTCCAGAGGACCTATGACCTTTGAACGCAGCAAGTGTGCACTTACGGAAATGAGTAATTAGATGTTTGTCGGCTACTGGACACTGACTCAAAACAAGAACTGATTGTAGCAGATGGAAAACATCACTATAACCTATCAGTCACAACAGGATTTAGAGGTCAAGGAACAGATTAAGTTATAGTTCACGCCTATCTTAATGTGGATCCGATGGTGATTCCTCTACTGCCTAGAAGCATTATGTGTGTATATCTGTGTGTGTGTGTTTCTGTATGTACATTTTTTTCATTACATTGTTTCATGAAGTATATACATAGATTATAAACATTTTTGGTACAGAACAAACACCTTTTAATTCCAATGTTAGTGAAGTGTTTGCTGTAGCTTGCAGAAACTCCTGTACTTTTAAAAATGTGTGTGTCCTTTTTTAAGGTTAAGATTTTGAAATTTATTTGGAAACCAGAGTTACACAAAGAGAAAGAGAAGAAATGAGTGAGAGAAAGAGAAAGGGAGAGGCAACTTTCAGCTACTGATTCAGTTCCCAAATGGTCACAAGGAGAGTTCAAGGATCTAGCAGCTTCTTTGGTCCTCCACATTGGTACCCAGCCTAAGAACTGGGATTATCACTGCCTGCTTTCCAAAGCACACCAGCAGAGATCAGCCGGGTCTCTAACTGATGTACATGTTTAGTGCTGCCATCCTAGGTAATGGCTGGGTCTCATCAACCAGGGTGCCAGCCCGATCTGTGTATCTGTAATGTTCACAAACCCTGTTCTGTCACTGCTGCTACCATGGTTCCTGAATTTTCAATTGTCATATGAAGGTGTTTTCTTTTCATCTATATTTTTCTCTATATGTGTTACTTTATGAGAAATCACATGGATGCTAACATTACTTCTCTCTTAGAATGTTGTTAAATTAATTTCTTCCATACCATCTTTAATTTCTACTAGTCTTTCTAAGAATATTATATTTAATACATGTATTTATGTATAAATTAGTGTTTTATTGAGAAGCAAGAGATTATATGACTATCATTGGCATTTTAATTTCTAATTGTATTTTTCAGGGATGGGTCTTTTATTCTGATACTTTAAAACTAACCTAACTTTTGATTATCTGCTCATTTTACAAAGAGAATAATTGATTACATGGTAAAGATGTGAAATTCATTGGTGGGTTTTGCAGCAAGAAGATTGTGAGGACAGTATCTGGGTACAAATGTGAAAACCCCATGATCTAATATAATAAACTCATCAAGTTTAGCAAAAGTACAGACATCTTTTTAGATTTATCCAAGATAAATTTTAAAAAGCATTAATGGGTGCTCGCTTTGGAGCACATATACTAAAATTGGAATAATACAGAGAAGATTAGCATGGCCCCTGTGCAAGAATGATATGCAAAAAGCAGGAATGGAATAATATTGTGATCCGGTGGTTAAAGCCTCTTTCGGCCTGCAATGCTGGCATTCCATGCGTGTCTATTTGTGTCCTGGCTACTAAACTACTTATCAGCTCCCTGGTGATCCAGCACCTGAGATAGTAGCAGAAGATGGTTAGCATATTTGGGTTCCTGCATCTACATTGGAGACCTGAATGGCCCTCCTGATTTTAGCTTCAGCCTGGCTCAACCCTGATCAGTTCAACCATCTGGGTTGTGAACCAGCAGATGGAAAGTCCTGCTCCCTGTCTCTTTCTCTCTGTGTATGTGGGAAACACAAAGCAAGTTCCCAGATAATAAGTTTGGCCTGGCCCAGCCATGGTGGTTGTGGTCACATAAGGACTAGGCTAGTAGATGGAAGACACATTCCCTCTCCCCCAGTCATCACCCTTCTTATTTTAAAATAAATAAACCTTACTAGTAGTACCAGTTAATTTATTTATCAGAAAGTCAGAGAGACATAATTCCTATTTGATGGTTCACTCACCAAACATCTGCAACAGTCAGAGCAACCTGGCTAAAGGCTAGGGGTAAAACCCAGTGCTACTCTCATGTGGGATGCAGGGACTGATAAACTTAAGCCATCACTTTCCACTATTATAGGTGTGCATTCACAGGAAGCTAAAATTAAGATCAGACCTGGCGCTCTGTCCAAGAGCTTCAGTATGGGATGCAGCTGTTCCTGTGCATTACTATCAATCAACAGATTTAGATATCTCTGTATGACATTTATGTGTACAAAAAATAAGTTGCACAGAGAGTCAGAGGGAAGGGGCAAGACGGATGAGGAGAGCCCAGAGGGACTGCAGAAGCAGGGATAGCAGTAAGTCGGCCACAATGTGGGAATGCTAACTGATTCTAGAAACCCTTAGAGACAAGCAGCAGGTTTCCTGTTGTGGCCCTCAGGAGCAACAAGCTTGGCCATTGCTTTGAGTTTGTCCCCCATAACACTCAGTTCGAACTTCTGACTTGACTAATTGTAAAACTGCAATTGTGCTGTGTTAATCCACTGGTTTTGTAGTAATTCTATAATAGTAAAAATTGAAAATTATTTTATTTTATTTATTATTTTATAATTTTAAGATAATATTTAATTTACATTGCACTAAAGCCCTAATGTACCAGGAAATAGTTTATAAGTAGAGTCTAGTAAGCAGAGTTTAATAAGAATGAAAACATAATTCAACAGGAATATAAACAAGAGTTTTAAACAATAATCTTATGAGATGATTTCAATTTTACTCGTATATATAATACATTTCAAAGCAATTGCAGATAATTGCAACTTTAGTTGTGTATCATTCATCAGAATTGCTTGACAAACTATAAAACAAAGTTTCACAAAATACAGTATTTTAATGATCCATACACACATTACTGTTTTTTTTTATTATTATTATTTTAGCTACAGCAGAAGGAGAGCATATGGTATTTGTCTTTTTGTAACTGGATTATTTCAGTAAATGTAAGTTTCTCCAGTTATAGTCATTTTGATATGAATAATAGAATCTCATGTCTATTTACAGCTAATAATATTCTATTGTGTATATAATTGTGTGTGTGTGTGTGTGTATGTGTGTGTGTGTACACATAAATATATTTCACATTTTCTTGGTCAATTTTTCTGATGATTGGCATCATGTTCATTTCCCTATGTCAGCTCACAAGTATTAACATGGTAGTGTGAGCGTATCTTGGGTACAATGTTTTCATTCCTTTTTGGTAGTTTTACACGCAGTGAAATTGGTCTATTCCAATCGTGCTAGAGTTCTGACTCACCAAACATCTGTCTTCAGTGAACTTTGGACTTTGATAAATCATATGTCAATTATACGAAGATGCTTTTTTGAAAGTCATATCCTGTTAAGTTTATTGAAATCCCATTATTTCATACATTTTCTTTTGATTCTATATTCTCTGCCCTTTGCTCCTCTGCTAAATTTTTAGTATCATCCCAAATGCACCTGACAATCCACCATGTTTTCCAATATACTCACAGTTTTTTTATTCTCCAGGACACCTCGAATGATATATTTCCATAGTTCTTTCAATTTTCTTACTTGTGAGTATATGTTTATAAATAATACATATTAGAGTGTCACCGTTTGAAAAGCAAGAGCATGAAACTTTGAATTCCAAAAATATTCTAGCACAAACCAGGCAAATATTGAATACATAGTTTCATGTTGGCTTATTTGATGATTACATTCTGATAAAACCATCAACCCATTATAAGTTAAAAATGCATCCAATATAGCCAACCTACAGATGAACCTGCACCCACGTGGGAGACCCGGAAGAGGCTCCTGGCTTCGGATCGGCATAGTATCGGCCCGTTGTGCTCACTTGGGGAGTGAATCATCGGATGGAAGATCTTCCTCTCTGTCTCTCCTCTCTGTATATCCGCCTTTCCAATGAAAAAATAATAAAAATAAATCTTTAAAAAAAATATGAGTTTTTCAGATATACATTAAAATGACAACAAAAGGTTTTTAACTAAATAATAACATATTAACACATATTAAAGCCATGAGTGATTATTATTTTATGGGCAATCATCAGTTTCCATCACAAACAGTTATTCTACTAAGATACCTGAAATTAGTAAAACTAGGCAAAGAAATACAGAGGTTGGCATTTCTTTACTAAAATTTCATACTGAGATTATTAAAATTCTGGAGCTTTCAGGGACATTGATATGATCCACATCTGATCTTCACTGTGTAAAGTCACTCTCTAAATTTAATTCTAATGATAGTACTATAAATAATGAACACGGAGAAAATTAATAATTAATACTGCAAGAACAGTCTCTAAGTGAAATGTACTTTTTTCCTAGCGATTTTTTCCCTATTTTCCTTTCCCTCCTTCCTTTTCCAAATTCAGCATTATATGGTTTACCGTTCTTGTGTTTTTGACTGTGATTATGAACTGTAAGCTCATTTAATGCTCTAAAACATCATATATTATTTAAGGAATGATGTGTGTGGAGTAATTTGCTGTGGCTACGAGCCCTCGGGGACACTCCTTTGAACATTTTGCTTAGTAGTTAGGTCTAGACAGTTCTTTCTTACATACAGCTGTTTTTTTCCTACACATAGCATTAACTGCAGCTACATGGCTTGTGTTCCACTGCTGTTATCTATTATGTGAGACACATCGAATCAAACTTTATTTCCTAGAACATTTTATGTATTTCAATGAAATTGGATATCATGACGAGCTAGATATCAGGAAAGTAATGTTTCTCCAGCTAATAAAATTAATCATTGCCTTCAGGATTAAGTGAAACTTTAAATTCTGATGAACACATAGATTTTATTACTCACTTGAACTATTTTGCTACTGGCAAGGACTCTGTCAGCCGTTGCTGTAAACTTTGCATTTGGCATCTTTTGAACCAAGAATACAAACACGACAGTAAAAGAATATGACTAAGAAGCTAATGGCTTTTGCATCAGGATGTCTTCTATCAGTAGCAGTTCTGCAGCTTCTGTTTGATTTTTACCTAGGAATAGCAAAATTAGGAACACTACTTTTGAAGTTCAAGATAAAAGGTCATCATTCCTCTATAGGTATAGATGAAAGGACACATTATAAGATACCAGTAGAGTTGAGAATGGCTCAGTGCCTTAAGCCTTTTTGTGGAAAACAAAATAGATGAACAAACAACAAACATACTCGATGACTCATACACATATGATTTTTTTCCCATAATTTTTCTGAAAGCTACATCACTGCTAAGAAATATACTTGTTTAATGTGAAACAGTTATGAAAAACATAATTGTATTTTGATTCAATCTTTAATGTGGTTTGAATCTAGTATGGAAAGGTAAAAAATGAAATGGAAGGCATAATAAGACTATTTATAATGGGAGAAATAAATTCTCCAGGGAAACAAAAATAATAGGATGGAGGTAAAGATAAATCTGTGTGTCTACCCAGCTAGAGACTTATTATAAGCAAATGACTCAGATTTTTTTGGAGGTTGAGAGATCCCCAGCTCTTCCGTTGGCCAGCCAGAGACTTTGGTTAGCCAATTGCAGATCCAATCTGAGCTGGAAGGCCTGTGACTAGCTTAGTTGAAATTGATATCAGGCAGAAAACTGATAAGCTCTGGATGAGATTATTCAGAGGATGTTGCTAACCTTCAATAAAACCATATTAATATTGGCAAGAACTCAAACAACTAAAATGCTAAATGAAAGATGAGGACTATATCAGTAATGCTTACAATTTTAATGTGCACAAATCTTCACTTTTAGTCTGCAGATCTTTAGTACAAAAAGTTTTTCTGATTTTTGAATTTTAGAAGTTCTGGGGCCGGGTAGGATAGCTTATTAGCTAATACCTTGCCATGTAAGTGCTGGGATCTCATATGGGCGCCAATTGCTGTCCAGCTGGCCTACTTTGCATCATGCTTGTAGCCTGGGAGAGTAGTAGAGAATGGCTCAAGCCTAGAGACCTTTCAACCGTGTTTTTTTTTTCCTTTTCTTTCTTTATGTTGATTTAAATAGATAATGATTAATGAGTAACTTTGAAAAAAGGTTTCATTTGATAAGAAAAGCTCAAAAGAAAATGTGTGGGTATCTGGCCATACAGAAGCGTGTGTGTGTGTGTGTGTGTGTGTGTGTGCATGTGTGTTCTGCATTTTAATATGTTTTTTGTTCATTTTGTAATTTGCAATGCTGATTAACTGGCTTATCAATTCTAAAAGCTTTTTGATTGACCATTTAGAGTTTTCCATATAAAACATGCCATCTGAAAAAATAGACAATTCAACTTCTTTTTCAATTTTGTTGTCCTTCATTTCTTTCTCTTCCTCATTTTTTTTCACTAAAGCTTTCATACTATATTGCATAAGATTTGTTAAAGTGGACATTCTTTCTATTTACATGGCTGAAGGGGAGTTTCCATATTCACCAGGCCTATTGTTTTCTATTGTTTCTGTTGTTTTGACAGTTATTGTTCTACTTAATTTGTCA